AGCCACTGACCTTGTGTCCTTTGGGAGCAAAGGGAAAGGCCAGAGGTGAGCCTTTGTACTTTAGCTCTGTGGGCCTGCACTCTGAGCACAAGTGTCCTTGATTCTCAGAGACCATAGAGAAATCTCCTCCCTACTCAGTAATACAGTCCTGGAGACCCCTATGAAAAGGGAACCAGATGTTGTTTGGAGCATCATCGGCTGTCAAGGGCTGGGTCTAGAACCTCAGTGAGCTGACTCTAGTCCCTCTCTACTGATGCAAGAAGACTGTGTGCCTTGGGTGTAAGTGTGCGTATGTGAGTGTGTGTGTGTGAGTATGTGTGTGTGTGTATGTTGTGTGAGTGTATGTATGTGTGCGTGTGAGTGTGTGTGAGTATGTGTGTGTGTGAGTGTGTGTGTGTGTGTGTGTGTAGCACCTCTGAGTGACAAGCTAGGGTGTGGCTACAGAACCAAACTTATCAAGCCTCAAGCTTTCCTTCAGGGCTCTCAAGTGTCCCCCATCCCCACCCCAGCTGTTTCAACCATCCACATTCTTAGGTCAAGGATTCTAGGACGTGTCTCCCTGTTGTGTGACCTGGGTCCCCAGAAGGAAAAACAAACCGAATGTCAGGGGGACAATTGAGCCCAAGTCCAGATGTCTGAGCATCCACCACAGTCCTTTCTCCTCATAGCCAGGGAGGTGGAGACTGGAGCGCCCCTGAGGGAGGTGAGAACCTTTCATCATTTACTAGGTGCTGAGCTGCAGGCCACAGTGTGTATGCATCTGGGGAGAGGAGACCCCTGCCAGGGGTAGGCCAGGCCTGGACTCTGTGTGCTCCTCTGGGTGCAACTGGCAGCAACCAGGACCTCCAGCCTTCTGAGGCTCTGGAAGAATGGGTTTTTCAGAATCTGGGGAAGCTCTTGGGTGAGTGGAAATTTCTGATGGTCTCACAGGGTGGAGAGCAGAGGAGAGGAGCCTCGTGACTTGGAGGGGTTAAATGAGGTTGGCTGAAAACGTAGACCAGTCTCATCTTTTCTGAGGGTTTTTTTGATCTTCTGTTGAAGAGTGGTGTCTTGGCAATGGCTTGGTGGGGGGGGGCTGTTGTTCTGGGGCAGGAGCCTCTAAAATGACCACTTAAAGCTATGTCACTGAGGAGTCTCCCAAAAGATTCCCACAGAGGGAGGTACCGGTGAGATGGGTTAGCAGTAAGGCACTTGCCCCCAAGCCCGACAACCTGAGTTTAGACCTCAGGAGCACACCTGGTGACTACCACAGGCTGAGCTCTGACCTCCACACATGCACTATGGCACGTGCGCGCCTACACACATACACATGAATGCACACACAATAAACATATAAAAGTGTAATGCTTTTTTAAAAAGAATTCCATGGAATAGCAAGTCCAAGGAGAGGGAGCAAAACCTGGCTCAGTCCCTAAGACCACTTTGCAGGAGAATTTTGTAGGTAAGATTCTTGGAGCCCCAAAGTCTTGGGGCGGGGAGGAAAAGGAGTGTAGGGTTGTGGTTGGGTTTGGGTTTTTTCCTTCCTCTTTTCTACTCAAAGGTATTTTTGCACATGACTCAAACAAGTCTAAACTTTCCTAAACTTCAAAGTTTGCTCATGGCACGGCCTCAAAGTGGAAGGGAAAACGTTAAAAGGGGGGAAAAGAAAAAAAAACAAAGCAAAAAAACAGTGTGTAAGCCAGTTGAGCGCTGTATTGTTGCTTCTCGCAGGAACTGAATTGACTTGCACCGCTATTAGAATCCCATTGTGAAACAGGCTTTTCTCTGCTGTTCCCAGGCTCACTCACTCAGCAGCCGGTCGGAAGAGGAAGGCCGGTGGCCACAGGCCTGCTCACAGGTCAAGCTCTCCGCAGGCACTCTGGTGCACCTGCAGGAGGGGAGCATGGGCAGATCGGCAGATAGCTTCCTACCCAAGTGCCCCACTGTCCTACCTTCCCTGGAGAAGTGTTGCACAGTGAGTGGGGAGGAAAGGTCACTACCAGCACTGCTGGGCCTCTCTCTGCCCTCCAGTGACAGAGGTGTTACTTCCAGTGACAATAACTGGGGTCCTTTCCATACCCGCTCTCTTCTCATGCCTCCTCCAGGCCAAGCCCGGGTTGCAAATACTGGCACAGGCTGTGAGAGCCCAAGTGCATGTGTTTCTAACTCTATCCCACCACCTAACCTGTGCTCAGGCAGATGACTTCTCTGCCACCCTTGTCTGTGCAATGATAGCAGTGAGAACTCAGTTAACCCAAAGTCTCCTCCTTCCCTGCAGCTGTTTTCTCTGCCAGGACCCCTCACTTGCCTCACACTGAAATCCAAATCTTTACTCCCCCTCAGCATCGTGTCTGCATGCTTTAGCTCACTGGAGAAAGCTTGCCCCCCTCGAATTTCCATGGCATTTTTGACTTGCCACACTCATCAAGTGCCATGGGCCGCCAGGAGAGCTGTGCCAACCAGCAAAGGCTCTCTCCCACTGCTGACGGGAGAGAGTCACTTAACCGTCATAACGGCAGGCATCTGCAGCCCTCCTTATGCCCGGTACTAATGTCACAACTTAAAGAGATGCGAGTTAATGGGGAGATGGAGGTGGGAGCTACAGAGAGAAAGGAAAGCTGCTCCCGTGGACACTTCAGGGGCATCTGGGGAGTGCCCTTTCTCTCCTCTCCCCAACACTGCATTTAGAAGCATCTAGCTGCTCTTAAAATAAAGCCCGGTGTCCTGGTTAGTTTAACTTCTGCTTATCTTCCCTCCTGACTTTTTTGGGGCACGTGGACCACTCTCCACCCTCATCCGTAAATGCATACGCATGCCTGACACAAAGACACACACACACCTTGGCACGCTGACTGTCTTTTGATTTTGCAAAACCACAAAGGCTTTCTGCCTCAGGGCTATTGCACAGGCTGTTGCTCCTTTTCGTCTGGCTGAGTCCTGCTGGCTCTTCAGATTCCAGAATGAGTGTTTCCTGTGGAAAGCTCTCTCTCTCTCTCTCTCTCTCTCTCTCTCTCTCTCTCTCTCTCTCTCTCTGTCTCTCTCTCTCCTCCCCCCCCAGTTCATCCCCCCCCAATCCATTTGCAGATCAACATACACAAATGTCTACTGAATGAGCCGAGTTTACCACTTAGCACAGGTCTTATCCATTGTTTGTGGAATCAGCTGCACGCCCACCCTCACCAAGTCTATAACCTTCATATAAGGTCATTGCTTGTCTTGGTCACAGTCACATCCTTCACACCTATCAATGTGCCTGAAGTATGAGGGCTTTCCCACGTCCTCATCAAGGAAATGACCAGAGCAGTGGGCTAGGCCAAGGAGGGAGAATGCCGCTCAGAGCAGAGAGGTTGGTTTAGCGTCTGTACAAGGAGTGTGGAAGGGACAGTGAGCAAACACGTGGCCTGTGGGTCAGTGTGGCTGACACACCGACTTGGAGCTTTGAGTTCTGAGCTGAGGGCTGGCAGGTTAGGAGCTGCCTAGGAAGCGTTTAGGGTGACGGTGGGTGACGGGATCGGGTTGGGTCTTCAAAAGCTTTCTCTGACGGTCTTGGTGTGCTCAGACTGCAAAGGCCAAAAGACCAAAATCAGGGAACAGGAGGGGAGAATCAACTGAGCTAATGGCCAAAGACTGGGGACAGACTATGTGAATGACAGTTTAGAAGCTGCACAAGCAAGGACTCAAAGGAGTCTTCTTGGGATCCCTTGCCTTCTCCCTCACAGAGCAAAGTTACAAGGGTGAGTATTCTTTCTGCTGTACTGGGGTGGAGAGAGAGGGGGGCTTGCTCTTTCTCAGACTCAGCCTCCCCTGAAGTGGCCCCTGATAAGACTCACTTGAGGCCCCAAAAGCACCAGATATCAGCTCTCTATGTGGACATCCTCTCTTTCTGTGCTCCCCCTACCAAGTTTGGCCTACAGTTCTGGTCAGGCAGGCCCCCAGGGCAGCCCCGGAGCCTCAGAATCCCTGGCCTTGACCCAGAGTCCTCGCCTGCTGCAGGCGGTCCTAAGGAGGACTCTGTCCTGAGAAGCACTAGGACTCTCTGCTAAGGAGATGGAGGACTGGCCAGGATGATCTCTGACTGGGATTGTAGTAAGGATGGCTGTAAGGGGACACCTCAGGCAGAGCTAGGCAGGCAAACCGCAGGCTCAGGCTTTCTGGGAGCCAGGAGAGGAGAGTCTTTGCTGTGTAACCCTTTCAGCACCACACCCAGACTGCAGGCAGGAGCCTGCGTCCTTGCCGACAGCCCTCAGCTCTGCGTTTTGTGGGCTGTGTGCTTAGGGCAGAGAGGCTGTGCAGCAGCCTCTGAGTTCACCTCTCAGGCCTCCCAGAAAGGAGCCAGCTGGAGCTGCTTGCTTGCCTGGTCTGAGGTTTGCAGTTCGTGAGTGTGGGAGGGGGCGCCAAACCACCTGGAGCATCCAGGCTCCCTCAAGTAGGCTGCAGCCCATCTTGGCTGGGAGGCGCTCCTTCAGCTAGTCACAAGTGTTGGGGGGGGGGTGCATAAAGGTATGTCCTAAATTGTGACCTCCAGTAAAACTAAGACCAGCCCCTTGGGGATGAGGAGACACACGACAACTGTCAGGCAAAGCTGTGGAGAACAATTCCCGGAGACAAGGGTGCTTCCTTCCCTCTGCGCCAGCCGGTGGACTTTCTTTTGGTCCTTTCCTGGGCCCATCTCTGGCTGTCTCCCCACCCCCACACTGTCCTTAGCCTGGCCCTCGCTGGGGGAATCCCCCCCCCCCCCCCCCCCGCATCATGCTCCCCCCCATCTCAGCTCGAGCCCCCCTCTCTGGCGAGGAGGTCTAAGGCGCTCTTCTTGGGCGCGCGTCCTGTCTGCCTCGGTGGGCCCAGGAAGGGGGGTGCAGAGCCCAGAGCCTCCGCTCACGGTCCCCCGGGGCCTGGGCGGGTGGGAGGTGGGCGGAGGGCGGCTGGCGCGGGAGGGGAAGAGTTAAGGCTCGCCGCTCCCCTCCCCCGGAGGGTGTGACCGCCCTATAAGAAAGGCGCCGCGCTCCAGCACTGGGGCTGCAAGCGGCGGGGGCCAGCGGCAGCGGATAGCCGAGGCCGTCCCTCCCGCCCGGGACCCGGGGGCAGCATGTCGGAGCCCAGGAGGAGGGGCCGCGGCCGCGGCAAGAAGCACCGAGAGGGGAGGAAGCGGGAGCGGGAGCCTGATCCTGGGGAAAAAGGTAGGGCACCTCGGCGCGCCCAGAAACCCCATTTCGCTGGGAGAAACCTGCCGCCCGCTCACCCGCCACAGGCGCCGCGCGGGTGAGTCTGGGGTGCAACGAGCCGCGCCGGGGTGACAGCAGCCGGGGCGTCCGCGTTTGCAAGCGGGTCGAACCAGTCGGCGCGGCAGGGTGGGCGAGGGATGAGCGGCCCCGGAGTCCAGCGGTGGCAGCGCGAGTATCTTCCCGGGTGGCGGAGACCAAGCTGCCCCCGAGCAAGTGGGTGCAGCGCGCGTCAGGGACACGGACGGAGACCGCGGGCGAACACACTCCGGGGCTAGCCTGCAGCACTCGGGGAGCTGTCACTGCCTTCCCTCTGCTGGGATCCCCAGCCGGCTGGGCTCTCCAGCTGCCCCCACCCCTGTGCCACACCTCCATTCGTTCTGCTCCGCCATTGGAGCTTGGGCAGCACGCCCGCCACCGCCACATCTAGAGATGGAGGGGATGCCCTGCCCTGGGAGTGAACCCCAGCCAGTAGGACACTGCTGCTTCTGTGGCACATGTGTACCCCAGAGGGTGACCAGACATGGAATGACTGTCCAGACTTGGACTTCTTGGTGATTCACTTAGACTCTTGCCTTCTACACCCTTCCCTCTGAGTGAGCTGAGCCACTGACAAGAACCCTCGTTGGTGATGACCCTGGGCAGCTGCAGGGTAAAGGGGTATGCTGGCCTTGGACTTCCCAGTCTAGAGCCTAGGACATGCACATCCTCCCTATGGAACCAGGCTCGCCTTGGGGCCCCCTTTGGGAAAGACCTGACTTCTCCCTTCATTTTCCTTCCTCAGGCAAGCCTCTCATTGCCTACTTTGTTTTGTTTTGTTTTGTTTTGTTTTGAAGTCAACTTTGTACTAGCCTGCAGGCTAGATGAGTTCAAATGCCCCCATCTCCATTTACTTGCCGTGACAGCTCTGGGTGCAGATAGTCTTACCCCCATTCTACATAGGAACTGGTTGAGGCTTTCTGAGGGTGAAGTCAAAAAGTCCTTTGCACTTCAGATGGCATTCTCTGGACAAGTGTGCCCATCTCTCTTGGTCCACACCCACACCACATCAAAAACAGCTTCCAACCAGCACCCGGCTGAAGGTTAGAAAGCCTTCATTGTGACTGGGAGAAAACCGATTCTCTTTCCTACCTGTATCCACATGATGGTGAAGGGATAATACTGTATCTTTGTGGGAGAGAGCATAAAAGTCCACAGCACCTCCACCCCACCAAAGAGAGGACATTAAGGGCATGTAAAGACCAGGCTGCCTCTTTGGCCGTCTCTGTGGGTAGTTGTCTTGGAGTCTTCCTGAGGACTGTGGTCCGCTGAGCAGGAGGTGGAAGTCTTCTCCTGCCAGGCGCCTGACATGTGGGGCCAGCGACTGTGAACTGTAGCCTGAGGGAGTAGGCTTTCTCTTGCAGGGGTCAAGGAGTCATGGCTTCCACTCAGTGAATCTTGCCTAACTCTCCCTTTCCCTGGTTCTCACCACATATACATCCTGACTTGGGTATGAGGTCACAGATGCGGGAATGAGCCTGGTAGTGTGACGGGGGGTAGGCGTTAGCTATCGGGAATCATGGAGCCTGGAAAAGGGGCCTCCTAATACCAAGGGTAGAGTGCTCACTTGGGGTGGGGTGGGGGAGCTAGACCATGGGAGAAAGATTCCATGGTACTCAAAATGATCTGGCCTAGCACCTACCCAATGAGAGAAAGTCCTTCTTAATGTCTCCCTGTAAACTTTCTTCCCGTCTTTTTTCCTAATACTTTCCCTGTTCCCCGTTTTTAGTGGCCATCTGGCTCTTCAGAATGCTTTTTTTTTAAGGGCTCTGGATGAGAAGCAGATCCCAGGCAGACCCAAGACAGAACTAGAGGAATTTGGGGGTACTTTGGAGCAATCTAGAACATGGAGGGCAAGGGGTAAGGTCACACTCTAAAACAGGATTCTCAAGAGAAAGTACCATGGTGATGAGAGTCAACAGCCTTAAGCCCCTGGCTTGTAACTAAAAGAGTCTGACTCAAAGCCAGCAGGATGAGTGATTAAGAGTGACAGTGGCCTTCAAAGTGGAGGCCTCCTCTCTACACCTCCCCAGGCCAACCTGCGGCTACCAGAACTCTATCACATTCTCAGAGCGTGCCTCATCTGCAAGAGGATAGGCACAGGGCAGCTGGCGAGGGGCCTTAGCCAGGAATGGGCTGCCTCTGACTGACTCCGAGAGGGGCGGACGTGTGCTCTAGAACCTTCTTAAATATGAGGAGGAACGCTGTAAACCCGAGGGGTCAAGGAGGAGAGATACTGATGAATTAGTGCCCCCAGCAGCACCCAAGCTCCTCCTCAGCAAATTAGAGAGGCAGTGTGGGGAAAAGGGCATTTCCCCTGCCTCTGTGCAGGAGGGCTGGGTGGGGTAGGGATGCAGGTGTGAGCGCTCTTCCATGACTCACAGAGAATCTGTGGTGCCAATTCCTGGTAACCCCTCTGGGGCTGCCCCTAACAATCCATGTTCCTTTTCTCCAAGGAATATGGCATCCATGGGGGTAGGAGCTTAGGCTAAGTCCACTTGGTGCGGCGGATACCACACTAGGTCTGGAAGTCAGGCACTTTGGACCCACTCCTGTGCCTCTGTGTGACGTGGGCATTTGCCCCTCTCTCTGGACTTGTGGCGGTGCATTCTGTGACCGACCAGCCCTCATCTCCTGCAAGGGAGGCACAGAGTCTCCTCTGTTGGGTCTTGTGTGTGGAGGTGGACCAGCTCACAAGCAAAGAGCTCTGGCCATATAGCGTTTGAATTCCCTGCACACAAAAATCTTTTCGAAGACTTCCCTTCCCATCCTTCCCTTCTCCTGCCCATCGGTAAAGTGAATGTTCAGACTTCTAGAACCAGCTCTGGTCTTCCAGATCCAAGGTGGCTGTGCTCACGTGCACGTGTCTGAATGGCATCTGGGGGTTGGCACACTCTCCTCAGTCTCGGCCCCTGGCTGACCCTGCTGAGCTTGACACCTGGAGCAATCCTCCTGACACTCCGGGGTGCAGCCTGCACCTCACGCTCTGCTCTGGCTCCCTGGCACCTCAGGGCACCTCAGGGTTCATGAGGAACAGTAACAACAATCAGGGAGCAACTCTGTACTTCCCAGAGCCTTTCATCCTGGGAGCTCAAAGCAGTTTACAGACCAACACTCATCATTCCCCAGCGCAGGTCCCAGGCCCTTGGCGGGGGTGAAAAGGGGACAGGGAGCGCTTGTCTTTCTAGATCAGGGTAGCAGTGGGGCTGGATGGGGCAGTGAGTCACCTGGGACAGGGTGGCCACAAAGTCTGGGACAGAAGTAAAATTTGACTGTGGGGTTTGGCTTCAGGCTGCAAACTCGGGGGGGGGGTGGCTGCTGCTTTAAACACTATGGTCCCGATCCTTTTTCCCAGACCCTTGTGCCAGGGTGGGTTCCAGGAGCTACTGAAGCAGTGGAACATGATAGAGGGGGAAATGGGAAGATCTGTCCTTGTTGCTGCCTTCTGCCCTAAGCATCATGAGGCCTCCAGGCTAGTCAAGCTGCCCAGACCTTAGGGCAGTGGCTGAGTGAGGACTCTGTTGGGGAAAGGGGTTAACCAGGCACTCACAGGCCTAGCTCTGACTTCAATGGTGGCTTCACTAACCCTCCTCGACTCCTTGGCCTAGAACCCTAGCCTGGTGACAACCACACAAGCTGTCTCCGACTCTGTGCATGTTAACTGAGCTTCCATTGTGTGAACAAACCTTAGACCTTGTCCTCAGGAAGCTCAGAGCAAGATGGTGAAGACAGGAGCGAGGTTGGGGGACAGAGAAATTAGGACCCTGTAGCGAAGGCGGCATCTGAAATTTACCACGGGATGAGCAAGAAATGGGACGGTGTCCATCCCCGCCAGTGTTGAGTCCAGGCAGGGGAACTGAGACAGGGACACTCAGGACTTACCTTGAGAACAGCCAGGAACTAGCAGCAGGATGAGCTCTTGAGCTGGTCGGCTCCTACCCTACCTTCCCCAGTCACATCTACTTAAGCCCAGGCTCTTCCGCATTCTGTACCCCTCAAGACAAACCCGCAAGAGCCAGAGGCACCCTGCTGGCCACCTGTTGGAGCAAGTCCTCTCATCGAATCAGCTAGACAGGGACTTGTCTCCTGGGCGCTGCAGAGACAAGACACAAAGGGGACTCAGGGATGAGCTGTGAGTCCCTGCCCTCACCAGACGCATGGAGCATGGCCCTGGCAGTCAAGTGTAAACAGAACTGTGGACACTGACTTGGGAGGGCAGCTGGAGATCCTGAGCCTGCACCAACAGGCAGTAAGTAGTTCCTGGGAAGATGGAAGCCACGGTTGAATGGTCTGGCCAGAAACCAAGCTAAAGACACAGAGTGCAGCCGGATCTAGTACCACAGTCCATAGTTATCTGGTCCTAGAAAGCCCCTTGTGCAAAAGATGTTTCAGTGGGAACCTGATTTAAAGCATGAACTGGGAGCTTGATAGAAGTGCACATCCTTGGGGCTAGGAAGATGGCTCCGTCAGGAAAGCATATGCCAACTGGGATCCGTGACACCCACATAAAAAGCCAGACATTGTGGCACACACTTGTAATTGTAGCGTTGGAGAGGTGGAGACAGGAGGATCCCAGAAACTTGCTGGCCAGTTAAATTGGTGAGCTCTAGGTTCAGTGAGAGACCCTGTCTTAAAAAATAAAAATAAAAATAAAAAAAAAACAGCCAGGCGATGGTGGTGCACGCCTTTAATCCCAGCACTCGGGAGGCAGAGGCAGGGAGGCAGAGGCAGGCAGATCTCTGTGAGTTCGAGACCAGCCTACAGAGCTACAGAGCTAGTTCCAGGACAGGCTCCAAAGCCACAGTGAAACCCTGTCTCAAAAAACAAAAAAAAAGCAAAAACTGAGGAGAGCAATTGAGGGAGATAGCAGACATCAAGCCTAGCCTCTACAATTACATGCACATATATGTGTATGTGCA